ATGACGTCATTCGATGATGACGATGATGAATATGATGATGATGACGGTGAAATAACAAAATGTTTCATCATCATTCAATTCTACTACCACTACTACTACTACTACTACTACTACTACTACTACTACTATTATTATTATTATTATTATTATTATTATTATTATTATTATTATTATTATTATTAGAGAACTTGTAGAGCGCCTTTTATAGTCACCCAAAGGCGCTCCATGATTTGTGCGAATCAATCCAAGAAGATACGAGTTTTCAATTCCTTGCGAAACTGTCGAAGAGTCAATCCCGGCCGACGCAGGTGATGGGGCAAATTATTCCAGATCGAAGGACCAGCAACTGCAAAACTTCTATCAGCAACAGCCAACTTTGTTTTCGGCACCATCAATAAATCTTGATCATCTAAACGCAACTTGATTGACGGATGAGATCTAACTCTACGTGTTATCATTTCAGACAGGTAACTTGGACTGAGACTATTCAGGCATTTGAACACCATGATGGAAATTTTGTATAAGATTCTTTTCCTAACATTAAGCCAATGAAGATCCAACAACGTTTGACTAATGTGATCAAACTTCAAACGGCCACTGACAATCCTGGCCGCTCTGTTTTGAATTGACTGTAGAGAAGACAATGTACTGTTTGATACTCCATAGAAAACACTGTTACAGTAGTCCAACTTTGAATGAACAAATGCATGAACCAAACATTTCAATGTGTCATTATCTAATGAGTTTTTAACTTGATTAAGTCTTCTAAGCTGAAATGAGCACTCCTTACTAAGCTTTTTGGCATGAAAATTCATTGACATATTTTGATCCAATACGATCCCAAGTCACCAACGGAGGAACAAAAATTAACATCCGACCCAGATATGTTGATGGACTTAACATCAATTTTCTCTAGCTGTTGCCAAGTACCAATCAAAAGTAGTTGAGTTTTACCTTCACTCATCTTCAATCTGTTATCTACCATCCACCCATTGAGTTTTTCGATGCAGCATACAAATCTATCAACTTCATCTTCAAACGTTGTATTACATGCAATCGGAACAATTATTTGCACATCGTCAGCAAACGCATGATACTTGAAATTAAATTCCTCAATAATTGGGAACATATCAGCTGCA